GTTTTTTGGCCAAGTGAATATCCTGTTAGTAACTGGATAATTCTTTACCCTGTTTCAGCCCTGGAGCTCCTCAAGACTGCTATTGGCAAGGCTGGCTACTCTGACAAGGTGGTCATTGGCATGGATGTGGCTGCCTCAGAATTCTACCGTGATGGAAAGTATGACCTGGACTTCAAATCCCCCGATGATCCCAGCAGATACATTTCTCCTGACCAGCTGGCTGACCTGTACAAGGGCTTTGTCAAGAACTACCCCGGTAAGTCATTCCTTGCTCTACATGAAGTAGGACAGCAGTGCAAAGTAGAGATTGGTGCCTTTCTAAAAGCAGTGGTACCAGCCTGTTCAGGGAAGTATTGTCTTGAAACTCCTTTTGTCCCTCTCTAGTGGTGTCCATTGAAGACCCATTTGACCAGGATGACTGGGCTGCCTGGAAGAAGTTCACTGGCAGTGTTGGCATCCAAGTGGTCGGTGATGACCTGACGGTGACCAACCCCAAGCGCATTGCCAAAGCTGCCGAGGAGAAATCCTGCAACTGCCTTCTGCTCAAGGTCAACCAGATCGGCTCTGTAACAGAGTCCTTGCAAGCGTAAGTTCCTCTCCCTTAGCTCTGCCAGGAGCCTCCAATCCCCAAGGAGGGAAATATATAACTGAAAGATGTAGAAGAGTATCAGAGGAATAGATAGGTACCTGTACCTGAGACATCTGTGGAGGGCCTGACACCTCTAGTTGAGGGTGTTGGCAAGTAAACCTGTATTGTTACTGCCTGAAAGCTGTGTAGGCACATCAGACATCCCTGGGTCCAGGCATGTATAGAAGCAACTCCTTAATTGTGTTTTCATGACTTCTTAACCCCAAAGCAAGGAATACCTGGCAGTTGGCAGCATCCCTAGAAGGGCTGCTAAGCAAGTAGGGGTGGTGAGACATGTCTGTGCATCTCTTCTAGCTGCAAGCTCGCCCAGTCAAATGGCTGGGGTGTGATGGTGAGTCACCGTTCTGGAGAGACTGAAGATACCTTCATTGCTGATCTCGTGGTTGGGCTCTGCACTGGCCAGGTTGGTATCTGTAGCTGCTGTTAACTTTCCCTCTTGCTTGGTTTTTATAGCATGGAGAGGAAGCCATGCTGTGCAGCACGTGGGGTCAGCTCTGAGGGCATTATGGTTAGAGGAAGGTGATGTCCCTAGCAGAAAAGGTCATAAAGTATCCTTAGTAAACTCCCCTGGGTGTGGCAGGATTTCCTGATACTGCTGGCAATTAACATATCTTATGTTGCTGCTGTGCCTCAGCTTTGCATGTACAGATGTACACAGCCTAAGGCTGATATCATCTGTTTGCTTCTAGTTAATGAATAGAACAGCAGAGCCTCATGTTGGCAACTTGTGCTATAGAAGAGGGTTCTGTTTCCTCATTAACTTTCTTCTTGTCCTTTTTAGATCAAGACTGGTGCCCCTTGCAGATCTGAGCGTTTAGCCAAGTACAACCAGCTGCTGAGGTGAGATTCTTGAGGGGAAGGGGCTTGAGGGTTAAGCCTGGCTTAAGTCATACTCACTAGTGCCATAAAACTTGCATGCGAATGAAGCTGGTTGGAGGGAGCTGAATTGCTCCTGAGTGGTGCTAACTTCAGTGCTGGTTACGCCAAGTGGTTTAGCACAAAGCCGTGTCATCCGCTCTGCTCACACCCAACGCTTTCTCCTTGTTCCTCAGAATTGAAGAGGAGCTTGGCAGCAAGGCACGCTTTGCTGGAAGAAACTTCAGGAACCCCCGTGTCAACTAAGCTGTGTGGGCCAAACAAAGCCTGTCCTGGTTTAAAGCACTAGTCACCTACTTAGTTAACTGTACTAGAAAGAGAAGGGCAGCTGAAGGAAAGACCATTTTGCAGGTCCTCTTCCCCCTAGATGATTCCTTCACCTAGTGTTTTCACCAGCTCTGATTTGTTGTTCTTAAGTGCTTTACCGCTTTTGTAGATGAGTCCCTGTGGGGTTTTGTGTTATTAAACACTCTGGGACCTTGTGACTCTGGGCATAAACATTTAATTCCCTTCTCTGCCTGTTCACTCTTCGATGTTTGGAGTTGTGTAACCTGCAGTGCAGCAAAAGGTGCCTGCAAACAAATAGTAGTGTTTTTACATGTGAGAAATAAAAGCATCAAACAATTTGACCAGGTGTGGCTTTGAGTTACTCTTGTGCACAATGGTGTTCCTGGCCTGTGTGTAACCATGGCCTGCTTAAAGCTGTCCTGCAAGGAGCTGGATTGCTCTGTGCCCAGGGGATTTACATGGCTATGTGGCAAGTAGAATGTGGCGTTGTGTGAATCTACATGGTTGCTGTCAAGAATTGGCCTTCATGGGTGGTTTTAGTCCTGCTGAGCTGCTGAGGATCCAGTGCAGCCTTGTGCAGAGGGAGGCTGGGCCAGAGCTGAGCGTTGGGAGTGACTTTACCCTCCATCTCAGGCTGTTTGCCGTGGTAACATGGAGCAGTGCAGCAAGATGCAAGTCCTGAAGAACTGCCTGTGAACTCCGGGGCTTGGGAGGAAGGAGAAGCTGCAGGTTGGATCATTATAGTGATGGTATTGTAAGATTAGAGGGTTTTTTCAAACAGTGCTAGTAGGAGGGTACCACAGATGTGAATAGGATGCCATGTTGAATTAAAAACGTGGTCCAAACGAACTGCTACATTTCTTTTGGCTTCATGAAGAGCACTTGTATAATATGTGATAAACTATCTGATTGTAGCTATACAACATGGGGGAGAAAAGCTATGTGAGAATAGATGACCATAGGATAAGAATTACGGGGAAATATATATTCCCAAACCCTCCAAAATTCCTTTTTGGCAAAAGATTTGTTGGTGCCTGTCCCCATTGCTGATCTGTTACTCTATGTAGTGGCTGTAGAGGGAAGAGGAGCAGAGTGGCTGCATCATGGAGCAGGAAAAGGCAAATGAAAAGGCCCATGTGAGAGTCTGTGCTAAGCAGTCTTTGGCCATTCCCTTTTTCCCATAATGGCTGGTTTGGAAGGAGGAGATGAATTTCCGATTCACATCAGTGCCTGTTCCGGTCTCAGAAAATTAAACTTAACGGGTTGTAAATTGTTGGAGGCAGCAGTGCCCCGGTGCGGCCAGCGCGTGTGTTGCGGCCGTTAGTCAATGTTGCACCCGAGCAGGGCTGGAATCGGTGACATGGAAATAGCCCATTTAAAGGCAGTGATGCTGCAGGGTGTTGCTATTATTTACCTCAACGCTGTTGCTTACAGAGTATCAGCAATTTTAGGTTGAAGAAAACAGATTTTTATTTCAGAAGCTGCCAAAATACAATACTATAAAATGCTAAAGCATGAGAATAATGTGTTATATTGCTGAATAAATCTGTGCCATAGCATTCTGCCCTCAGAGGATGAGATCTGAGGGTACCCTGTGGTGAGTAAAGCCAGAACGGGGCTGCTTGTGAGTTGTGGGAGGTTAGATTTGTCCAGCCATAGCAGGAGCAAGAGCTGGGGAAGGATTTAGCACCCAGAGGACAGTGGCTCCTGTAGTGTCTATTGAGGTACGTGCAGTTTAGCTAGAAAGGCTCATCTGTTGTTAGAGGCACTTCTAGAATAGCTGCCATTTGTAACCATTAGGGAAATGGCAATGTTAATATCCCTCACAGGAAATAAGGATATTTTGGCCCCTTTACGGCAAGGTGTCTGTTAATGGCAGGAAAATAACAGGTCTTGTTCAATGCTGCGAGTGTTTGGATGTGAGCGGCCTTGGTGCAAAAGGCCAAAGCACCAAACGGCCAGGGGAACTGGGCTGTTACATTAGCTGCTCACACCCAAAATAAGGAGAACATGGAATTCCTGTCTGCATCCAGGTATGTTTTGCAGAGCATCCAGTGTCAGGCTCTGAAAGCAAATGCAGGCAGAGCCGCTCGCCGAGAGCAACCTCCCTGCCAAATCAATACCGGCACAATGAAAACATCCCGGCTTTGTTGGGTGGCTGGAGAACTGTTTCCTCTTATGAGATTTATCTCTTCTGTCAAACCCTTCTTAAGTGGAGCTTTGCTATAAATACCAGATTCACCAGCACACGGTAAGTGCCTCCTTCACGTAAACTTGTCCTTTTGCAGGGCCTGGGTCTGAGCTGGTTGTGCTCCAGGCAGATTTGAAACCGAGTGCGCTTTTCACACATTGCTGATCTCTGAATTAGACCTGGTAAATGAATAAACCAGCTAATTACACACAAATCCTATCAAGGGATTTTTCTTCCTCTGTCAAAGAGGCAAGCTTTTAATATATGCAAAACGGGTTAGAAAGCTCTTTAGCACAACCACTTTAGGAAGCAAGAGTTATAACCCTTTTTCAGTGGGTGCTTCAGCAAGCAAAGACAATTCTCATCTCCCCTTATCTGGGCCTCTGTGTTTACACCTGGAGGTTTCTTTTTTGAATAAGTGGGAGAAAGCCCGAGAATCCCCTGTCCCCAGTCCCTGCACACTGACAAAACCCTGATGGCAGCAGGGCTGAAGTGACTTGTGTGGGTGCTGTGTAGCTACACGCATCTGCAGGGAAAAAAAAAAGGAGTGAAATCTGCTTTGTGCAGATGAGGGTTTGGTCTGAGCTGCTTCTGCAGGTTAATGACACCAGAAGTGGAGCTCAGGTATTGTTAATTCATTATTGCTCACTCCTTGTTATTGGTGCGTGATAGGGAACTGTTCTGGGTGCAGCTACTAGATGGGTCTTCCCTTAATGCCAGGAAAACACACAGGAAATGGCGGGATGAGGAGCTGGTTCCTGAGGCCGTGCAGTCAGTGCTGTATCTCATGGCTTATCGGTGCAGCCCGTCCTGCCCTCGCGCAGCGCCCGGGGCCGTGCACCCTCTGTTCTGTCAGTGCAGAGCTCTGTAACGATCCAATTCACATTTCAGGAGCTGTTGGGACTGGATCAGCAAGTGCTCCCTGCTCTGGAGGATGCTGGGTGGCTTCACCTCACAGGCAAGAGCGTTGCAAAGAGCCTGAGCTACCTGCAAAGGAACAGAGGACACCAGGCTTGGTAAGTACTGAAACACAGGAGCACATTAGAGGATATGCATGTGCTTGGACTGAGTGTAATGGGTGAATAAGGAACGACATTTGCTTGCAGAAAATCAAAACCCTAAAGCTCTAATGCTAGAAAGGTGGAAAGATGCCTCTTCCCTGAGGTCTGAATCCTGCCCCATAGCTCCTTGCTTTTCTGTCCCGTCCCCCAGACTCCTGCTCAAAGGCTCTGTTTTGTAGCAGTGCAAATGTAGCACAGCCAGTGTCTTTATTACCGCAATAATTTGCAGGGTTGCTGGCTCTTTGGAGCAGGAGGAGGCATCAACTTTGCAAGTGTGAGCTCTAGGAGGCTATTTGAGAATAGCAGACAGCCTTAAAAGCGGCTCTGAAGTGAGAAGCAGGCGCAGGAGATGACTGATGAGCAGAGAGGAGAGGCAGGTGGCACTTCGGGGAGCTATTCAGGTAAGAGGATGCATAATGGAGCAATGCAGAGGACTGGAGCGGGAAGGATCTCCCATTACCGCTGGCTCTATTTCCAGGTTTGCAGAGGGAGCCTTTCTGCTTTGTAGCCCCGCTTGCCCCTAGGATTCACTTCCCGCTAATGCTTTGACTTCTCGGTCTCGTTCAGTCCCTGCCGCAAAGCGCTCGTGCCAGACAAAAAGGCCATTGTGGTCCCCGGGGAGCAGGTGAGAAGCTGGGGTTCAAGCTTTGCCTTAACTAGACATTAACGAGCCCTGCCTGCCCCGCAGCCTGTCAGCGGCTGCCCCCGCGCTGCCTTTCCAGGCAGGATTTGCGGTGCCTGCCACCGCGTTGGGCCACCCTCAGTGTTTATCACCCTGGTAGAGCCCTGGTGGGTGCCAGGATAAAATGTAAGAGCTCGTGCTCCCGTGCTCATCCGCAGAGGACAGGACAGCAGGAGCCGGCAGGGGAAGGGGTTTTGGGGAGCGATGAGAAATCACCCCAAGCCACCAGCTGACTCTTGCTTGCAAACAGCGGCACTCGTTAGGTCACCACTGTCCTAAAGCCACCGCGTTAGCCAAAGCAAAGGGCAGAGGTAGGATTTCATGCATCAAGCTGCCAATGTGGCCGCGCTGGCCGCCGGCCCTGCCTCGGCGCTACCTACTCCTTCTCCCTGCCCCAAATTTTGCAGAAGGCTCCTGAATAACCACGGTTGTGTTTAAAGAGGCAGCGTTGCCATGCCCGCGGGCAGCGGGTCACCTTGCAAAATGCCTCCGGTTTCGATCTGCTCCCGAAAGCTCTTCCAGCAAAGCTGATTTTCATGCAATTAGACACAGCGCGTGGGCTTCATCTTTGGCAGCTTACGATGACCTGACCCTCGGCTGCTTATTCAGAGTGACAGGACAGACGTTTGCTGAACTGACCCAGTAAATATCAGCCTGCCTCTGATTAGAGACTGCCAGGACCAGCCGAGGTAATCGGGATTCACAGATTTTAAAGCCAGAAACCGCCATTACAGTCTGGCTGGATGAAATGTGGGTGAATTCTCTGCTTTTGAAAAAGTACGTTCCAGTGTGTCATCAAAGGGATCGGTGGCTACAGCCACAATGGGGAGGTGAGAGCCAGAAAGCTCCTCCTGGAGGAGCAGATCTGCAGTGGGCAGGACCCAGATGCAAATGTGGAATGAATCCCTCCCTTGCACACTGTGGTGACAGCAATACAGGAAAGGGCTGACTTGGCACGTCAGGCTGGTCCTGGCAGAGAAGCCCCTTTGCCAAAATCCAAGAATTTAGAGGAAAGCAGAAATGTTTCCACTTCCATGCTCAGCAGCGGGGCTTGCACGAGGTGCCTTGACTGTGTGTGCCTCGGGACGTGACGTGCAAAGCTCACACTTTTCTGCTGGGAAGAAGGGTCGTGTTTTGAAGTCTTTTTCCCCTCTTTTCGTGTACGGTTATCGAGAGATCTAAAGCGCCCGGGTGTTTGTGCATGTGCAATGAACACGTGTTCGGGCACTTCTTGATGTCCACTGCCTGCTGCTTCTCACATCTAAGGCTGCGATACTTGAAAGTAAAATGGTCGCGTAACGCTGACATGAAAGAAAAATAAGCGACAGCATTTAAGCTCCTTTCTGTAGTATTTTGTTTGACAGGAGAGCTTTCAATTTATATTATTTTTATCCAAAGGCTGTTC